TTTGTTGCTCTTGGAAATGCAAATAGTACTCTGGTATCACAGCGCAGACTTCTCAGGGTCATGCTGTCTCCTGGCACGGCCGCTCCAGACCCGTCGCCATCTTCCTTTCCCAACTTTTTAATGCTACAAGTAACACCCATATGCACTTGACCTAAAGTTCATTAATTGTTAACGTATGCCACGTGCTTCCCCTGTATAAGCAAGTGTGCAGACACACCCACGCATACCTTTTTTTTTTTCCTGAACCATTTGAAAGTAAATTGTAGGTATTAGGAGGCTTCACCCAAAAACACTTCAGCATGTAGCTCCTAGAACAAAGGACATTCTCCAACATTACCGTAATCACTTCCAAGAAGTGGAACACTGATGCAATAATATTTTGTAATAATCAGTCTATAAGCAAATTTACTCAGTTACCCCAATAATGTGCTTTATATCTGAGGGTTTTGTTTGTTTGTTTATAGAGAGGGGAATCCAGGATCCAATCAAAGATTATACAATTTGTACTTAGTTTTCAGTTTCTTCAGTCTCCTTTAGCCGAAAACAGCTCTCCAGGCATACACGCCCCCACTCCACTTTTAAAATTATAACTACTGTTTATTTTGGACATGTGCTGGGTTTCATGGTGGATACATTACATACAGAATTTTTTTAAATTGTGATAAAATTCACCATATTAACTATTTTAAAGTCTCTACAACTTTCTCTCCCCCATGGTGTCTCCTCTAATATCTCAGCATCCATCTTCAGTTGTGGAGTATGGTGACGACTCTATACCCTAAAGTTGAATATGGTACTCTGATGGGTTCTGGAAGTCAGTTTTTTTCTCTCCAGGCAGGTGCACCTTGGTAAAGATCATATGTCTTTTAAATTGAGGAAAGAGCTTACTGAGGAGCAGTTAAGAGCCTTCACCAAATATAAGGTCAGAATTACTGCTAATTTTATACCATCTGTTTCACTAAATATTTTTAACTCCTACCCTATGCAAGATGCCATACCAAGTGAAGGAAAATGTATAGTTAAGTTGGGAGAGGGGAGGTTGATGAAAAGTAAATTGTTAACCATAAATCAAGGTTGGTTATAAATGTTACAGAGACCTACGCTAAGCATTCTGGGGATTCAGAAGCCAGAGAGGAGAGAACTCATCTACCTAGAAAGCTTCCTAGAAAACACAGCATAATTTTGAAAAGTAGCAAAGAGGACAGAGGCATTCAGATGGAGGGAATGGCTCAAATTCATGCAGAATTCTGGGAGTAGGGTGCATGTGTCCCATGATCTGCACAGCATGAAGACAAGAGAGACCCAGACACGTGACCTGGAGCCATGCCAGAGCCATATGCAGTGAAAATCCCAAGTCAGAGACATTCAAAGAGCTGAGCAGAGAGGGGGAAACTGGACAGCGGCTGTGGGCTCAGGAGCAGGAATGTGAGTCTGTGCAACACCCACGGCTTGGAGGATGGTTTTACGTGCAGGGCAGGTGCAGAGAGCACTGGGGGCAACCCGTAGTAGCTGAAGCACAGGACACACGTGGGCCAGAGGGGATAGGACACAGCTGGGACTCCGTGACTGAGGGGTTCGGATTTCATTGGCAGGACTTGCAGAATCAGCACATGTTGTATTTGTTTGTTGAGGCTGCCATGACAGTTACCACACACTGCAGGGCTTAAGGAAAAGGAATTTATTTCCTCACAGTTCTGAAGGCTGGAGGTCCAAAACCAAACTGTCAGCAAGGTTGGTTCCTCCTGAAAAGGATCTGTGCCGGGCGTCTCTCCTTGGCTTGTAAGACGGCTGTCTTTTCCCTGTGTCTTGACATTGTCCTCCTTCGGTGTGTGTGTGTCCTAATCTCCTCTTGTGAGGACACCTGCCACATTGGATTAAGACCCATTCTAATGACCTCATTTTGACTTAGTCACCTCTTCAACGACCCTGTCTCCAAATAGTCATATGCTGAGGTACTGGGGGTTAGGGCTTCAACATATAAATTTGGAAGGGGCGGGACACAATTTATTTAGCCCATAACACAGATATTTAAGCTTGGGAATGTGAGCTTCAGGTAAACTAACTTGGCAGCAGTGGGTAGAAAAACATGTATCTTGTCAGATATGAATTTGTTTTTTATATAGAATATATTTTTCTTTCTAGATTTGGAGTCCAAACCAGATATTTAAATGAACTTATCTCACTTTTCAATATTTTTTTTGCAAGACAAACAAAAGAATGTAAAATCATTTTATTGGCAAATCATCTCACTTAGGAAAGGCACATATTAGGTTAGCATTTAAATTTAATTTGGTGTGTTGTTCAGATTCTTTGCATGATCTTTTAAAAACAAAATATCAAGTATTTTCTGTCAAGCCCACAGTGGAATGCTGTTTTCTAACTGTTTAAAAGATGATATTGACACAGATGTAGCACAACCAGGTCAGTGTGAGTGTTAAGGCTGCAACTGCCGCCGGCATTGAAAGGGAAGGAGCAGTCACAGCCTTCGCATCGCTCACCAGGACAAGGACAAGGATGGGCAGGCGACCCTGAGGCCCTCGTGTATTGGAGACCTAGTGGTGCAGGGATCCTATTCTGTGTGTCCAGGGGACTTCATCTGACAGCTGAGTCCCAGCAGGTGACTCAGTGGCCAGGAACACCTGGAGACACAAGGTGTATGTCAGAAAGCTGAGAAAAAGAGAGATTGGGGGGCGGGGAGGAGTCAGCATCACAGCTGGATGACACAAGCCCTCAAGGATGATGAGCTTTTATTCAAGGAAGATGATCAATTAAATACTGAGCTGTCCATCATAAATAAGTAGAGTCTTAATAAAGATATAAGAAATCTCCCTTCTTTTTATTCTAGCTAACGACCTATTGGCCAATCCCTTCTTTAAATTGTCTATTTTATTTTACTATTAGTGGAGGGGGGGGTCTTGGTCTCTCCTCACAAAATCCGTACTTTGAGCTTAAGGTTCACAATCTCAAACTCAATTTCCTGATACTTGCTAATCAGAGCTAGACAGCTCACCACCCTGGTGATAATAACACACCTCTCTTATTTCTGAATAGTGTATTAATGTAATGATCAGAATAGATTTCTTCCAATTAAGTCTTTAAAAGTGATTGTGAACAGCATACTTAAGAGCTAAGCTACTTTGCAAAGTTACCCGATAAATCAGTAGAATCCACGGATAGGCAAAAACTAACACAATCTGCAGAGTGCACAGTCCCCTTTTCCATGGGGTCAAGCGTGTATAGACACTGATCCAAGCCCAGCCAGCTTACCCTGGAGTCATGGTGGCTCCTGGGAATCCATCAGGGAAGCAGGCAGGTAGGGGAAAGAGAGCAAGCCGGGGACACTTGCTCCAGGGAAAGGGCAGGTCACTTTCCAGCCGCAAAAGATCCATCATCCTCCATCACCCAGAAAAGAGAGGAATCATCATGTGCTTTCCTTCGTTAAAATCTGACACTTGGATAATCAGCTCTGAGGAGCTTAAAACTTCACTGGGACACTACATTTCTTTCCATTGAAATCTATATACTCCCATAGTTACATGTTTCCTAAAATCGTTTCTGTGGATTTTAAGTGCTTTGGAAATATTTTCCGGAGACACTACCCTCTAATTATAAAAAGTTATTGGGTCTGTGTTTCTATAAAAGCTCCCTGTGTTTAAAACAGTAAGTGTAATTATAATGATCATTTTAACCTACTGTGTCTCCACCACCCCCAATGGGAACTCCATGGGTGGCTTTGACAAGTTGCTTAATGGGTTTCTACAAGCTGTAGGGAGAAATAAAGTTTTATGCATTTGTATTTAGCTTTCATTATTTTGGTAATTAAAAAACCCAGCTAGATAGAGGAGATCCTATTTTGGATGAAGAATTTCAGCGACTCAAGACAGAAGTTAGCAACAAACGGGTCATTCGCAATCTACAAGAGGTAGGTAACTTTCCTTTGTTTGGAATCTAATTATTGGCAGCTCTTTAAATGCTTATTTTTAAAAATGATGAGCAATTTTTTAGAAATCCCTTTACCAAGAAATATTTAATAATTTTTAATATGCTTACATTTTCAGTGTTTTTTACTATGATTTCGCAAGTAAAGCATCAAAACTTGTAGTTAATGTTTCTTTTGAAATTAAAAGCATCATATACTTTGGCCCCTCCTCTCTACCCCTCTACTTTCTGTTTCTTGGTCTCTATATTAGTCCATTTATGTTGCTCATAACAAAATACCTGGAACTGGGTAATTTATAAGAAAACAAAATTTATTGCTTACGGTTTGGGAGGCTGGGGAGTCCAAAGTCCAGGGAACACATCTGGTGAGGGTCTTAGTGGTGGCAGCTGTGACCCAGGGGTCTCACAAGGCAGAAAATGGTGGAGCAGAGAGAGACTAACCTCTCAAGTGCTCTTCTTTAAAACCCTTGGAACCACACCCCTGACCACCATTATTAATCCATTCACTATGGCATGATCCTACAGTCCAATCACCTCTTCAATTACCATAATAGGATTTCCCACCCTCAACAGTTACATTTGAGGGATTTAAGCTTCAGTGAGGTTGGGGGGCATCCAATCTACAGCTGTCTCCTTTTGGTTTCCTTTGCTCTCTGAGCCCCTGTCTGTAGGTCCTCAAGGTGGGTCCCTGGGCCTCCGTTCGTTGCCCCCCCTCCCTTGGTGGTAAGGATACAAGCCCAGAAGTTGGAGCCAGAGTTCTGGTTCCCGCTCTGTGATAGATATGGGACCTGGGAAAAGCCTCTTATGGTACCTTAGTGTCTTCAGATGTAAAATGGGGACAGTAGCCCCTCCACTGGAATATCCTCTGTCATGTGATAGTTTCTGGTTAAAACTCCAACTTTTAATTTTAACAATGAAAAAATTCTTCCTAATCTCCCCATCTCCATCATTCTCACTTTTCTTTGCTGGGCTGGCCATATCTGAATTATTTTTAACCTCTTTTCTTTCCCCTCCGTCCCACATTTAATCTGGCTACAACGTCTTGCCCATAGCTCTTTTGCAAGGCCACATCCGAGTCCAGACTTTGGGTCTCACCCTCAATTAATACAACAGGCTTTCTGTTCATATACCTGTCCTGCCACCCCTCTCCTCCACAGCCCACTGCATATGCCAGTGTGGGACAGATTCGTTTCTGATGCCTTTTTTCTTCACATAGTTTCTCTATTGAAGAACCTATAGTGTCTGAGGCTCTGGCTGGCCTCCCCCCACCTCAGGCACCCTTTCCTCCTCATTCATTTACTGACCTATGCACGCGGGTGCCCGGGATGTGCAGGTACAGTGTTGGTGCTGCGTGCACAGAGCCGAGCAAAGCAGTCCTCCTTCCCAGACAGGGGACCGCACGGTCCACTCCTCTCAATTCCGGATGCGGGGCCGGCACCCACCACATGGGCTTGATTTCTGTGTGGACTATATTCTCCCTCCTTGGGGTCATGTGTGTTTCCTTGAGCTTCCCTACTAGACTATGAATTTCTTAAAACCCAAATTTTGTCCTCCACTTTTGGCCCCCAAATCAAGAAGTATTCCCTATAATGTTATGTCCACTAAAAGTGCTTAATAAATGCTCACTAAGTGGTGGAACAGATAAATAATAACTTGATTTTGGATCAAACTCTAAACACTTTAATCAAATGTTTATGCCAGGAGTTAAAATTTAAAGGTAAGATATGCCTATATTTTATATTCACAGACAATCAAGGAATTTCATCCTAGTTTTGATCCACTGGTTAATAATACTTGGGTCAACAGGTTCAGGGCACAAAGACGGTTTCAACAAGCAGCACGCAAGGTACGTCTCAACACCAGATTGAAATTTTGATTTGTTTCGTCATCAGCACAAGGAAATCGAACAACAGCCTTTTAAAATAACGTCTTTATTGAGAGACAGTTTACATACCATAAAATTCACGTTTGTAAAGTGTGCAATTCAGTATTTTTTAGTATATTTACAGAGTTGGGCAGCCATCACCACTATCTAATTTTAGGACATTTTTATCTCCTCAAAAAGAAATTCGGTACTCATTGGCAGTCACTCCCCACTCCCTCCTTCTCCCGGCCCCTGGCAGTGACTAACCAACTTGCTCACTCTTTGCATTTGCCTGTTCTGGACATTTCATATAAATGGAATCATACAATATATGGCCATTTGCAACTGGCTTCTATCATTTAACATTTTTAAGATTTATCCATGTCGTAGCATGCATCAATACTTTGTTCCTTCCTTTGCTGAATAATGTTCCATTGTTGGGACAGACCACATTTTGTTGATCCACTCCTCAGTGCACGGGCGTTTGTGTGGCTTCCACCTTTTGGCTATTATCAGTAATGCTGCTACGAACATTTGTGCACAGATTTGTGGACATATATTTTCAATTCCCTTGTGTGTATATACCTAGAAGTGGGATTGCTGGGTCATAGGATAACTCTAGAACAATGGGATTTTGATCAGTTATTTCTAAAGAAAGCAACTGTGAATTCCTGTGGGATCTTGTCTCTGACATTAGGCTTATGGCTTCCCCTTCAAAGGCACCGTCTTCACTGAGCACATTTCTAGCCTCCAGTGGATTCCTGTTATCAGGATAAAATGCAGACATCTGAACCTCTCATGCCAATAAAGGGTATAAGGTCCCCTGGTCTGGCCACACCCCTCCAGCTGCCCCCTGTTCTGTTTTGTACCAGTCCTCATCTTCCAAACCCACCATGCTCGCCCCTCTGCAAGCCTGTGATTCTGCTCCTCACCTTCAACTACAGTGCCTGTCTGTCTCCATCCCATGGGTCCACACCTGTCCTATGGGCCACCTCAAGTCCACCTTTCCTCTAAGAAACAGTCCTTGGAAGCTTTAGCACTTCGGGAGCTCCTCGGTGCCTCTTGTATCTTATGCTGCCTGTAGATCTCTCGTCCCTGCCGCTTGTGTAGCTTTCCTGAGGGTCAAGCCACACTCAAGCAAGGGAGAGCAGTGGTTAAGACCTGGGCACTGGAGCCAGACTGCCTGTGCTTAATTCTCGTGCTGCTTCTCAGGAGCTTTCTGATCTCAGACAGGTTACATATCCTCTGTGCTTTAGTTTCCTCATCTGGACACCAGCAGTAATGATAAGGCCTGTCTCGCAGGGTTGTTGGGAAGGTATAAGGGACTCCAGAGTTTATGCTCCAGGTTGTCTTTCAGGCAGTCCTCTTAGCCCAGACTGACGACAGTCCCGGTGGAGAGAGGCAGAGCTTGCTGCCTGGGTGACCAGCTCACCAACCTCCGAGGCCCTGTAGAACCGGTGTCCCCAGCAAGGCTTTGCCTGGGTGGTCTCTATATATGCAGAACAGGGGCTGCCACAAGATGCTCAGCGCAGAGAAGAAAGTGGCAAAGAGAGGCGGTACAAAGCCATGCTCCAAGGGGGACAGGCACAGCATTGATAATGAGCAAACGGCAGCAAGACTGGCCAGGCTGGCTTACCACTAGTGTGACCCCTGTAGCCCTCTGCAGTGAGCCCCACAGCCTGAAGAGTGTGGCCAGTAGCTTTGTACATTGTTCTGAGTGTTTGCTCTGTCTCTTCTTCGCACGCCACAGCAAGCACTGTCAGTTCTAGGTGCCAGTATGTCCCCAGCCTATTGACTTGCCATCTCCCAGCTACAGACACCCCCCAGGCCCCCAGCATCTCTGGCCTGGACCACTGCCACAGGTCTCCCTGCTTCTGGCCCCACACAGCAGCCAGAGTAGTATTCGCAAAGCTTAAAGATGACAGTACCTTCTGCCAGCTAAAACCCTCCAAAGGCTTCCCATGGCAACTAGAATAAAATGCATGATTGTTATCAAGGCTGCAAGACCTCACTGGATTTCTCTCTGTCCCTTAAATGCATATATTTTCCTGCATCGGGATCTTTGCACTGGCTAGTTCTTCTGCTCAGAACCCTCTTTTCAAGATCTTCCCATCATTCAAGTCTCAGATAAAACCACCCCTCCGCAGAGAGGCCTTCCCTCATTATCCTTGCATAAGTGAGCAGACCCCTGCCCATTTCCAGCCCCTTCAGTCACACCTTTGTGCATTTACGTTCTTATTTCCTCCATCGTATTTATTGTGTTTATTTACGAGTTTATTGCCATCCCCCCCAACACACATGCACACACACCCCACACACATATTCGGAACATCAGCTGCGTGCAGGCAGGATATTCGTTTGCTCTCCACTGTGTCTCCAGTGTCTTGCACAGAACTGGGTACAGAGTAGCCACTTCACACTGTTTGTTAAATGAAAGAGTCCTTTGCAGAATGGAAAGGAGTGTGAATCATGGAATGAACGATCCCTTTGGCCGCAACTCTGGGCACAGGTGGCCTTCACCTGCGGTAGCATCAGTTCTGAATGCAAAGCTTGGAGGTGAGCAGTTAGCAATGCCCATAATCCATAGCCCTGTGGCCACAGAGTCACCCTTGTAGTTTGTCTTTCAGCTCTGAAAATAGCACAGCGGTAGCACTACTATTCATATATCCAGAAGAAAGTAGAAGTAGTCACTCTATCCACTCTGGAAATAAGAGAAGATTGGGGCTCATAAATTGGGTGGGACCAGGCCAGATGACAACTTGGTCTTTTTATGTATTCAGGCCAGTCAACATGGCCTAGACCTTGAAGTCCCTGTGGCCCCTGTCGAGGACAGCATCCCCTCTCTCTATGAACTTTGACTTAGATGGGTGGCCTCAGCCCTTGGTCATGGTTTGGGAAAGTGAATTTGGTTGAATACCAAAATGAGCATATATCAATTAATAATTCTTTCCCATTCCAGATCATGATTCAGCGACGATTACTCAATATGTTGAATGCTATTCGTGAAATGGACAGGAAGAGTGTGATAAGAAAGCTGAGCCACGTGAAACAATCAGCACAAGGTACAGTCTCGCTGTGACACACACACTGATCATTCCTCTGACATGAGGTTTCTTTATGATGAAGTTAGCTGTGTAGAAATAAAATATTTTCATAAATCGCATGTCTTAGTTTCCTATTGCTGCTGTAACAAATCACTACAAACTTAATGACTTAAAACAACACAAATTTATTATTTCACAGTTCTGGAAGTCAGAAGTCTAAAATCAAGATGTTGGCAGGGCTGGTTCCTTCTAGGCTTCAGGGGAGAGCCTATTTCCTTGCCTTTCCCTGCTTCTGGAGCTCGTCTGCATGTTTTGGCTAGTGGCCACTGCTCACTTCTCTCACCTGCTGCTTCAGTTGTCACATCTCCTTTTCTGACTCTCACCCTCCTGTCTCTCTTTCATAACGACCCTGTGATTACAGCAGGCCCACCTGAATAACCCAGAATAATCTCCCCATCTCAAGGTCCTTAACTTAATCGCATCTGCTAAGTCCCGGTTATTATAAGGTAACATATCACAGGTTCTGAGGCATGGGATGTGGACAGCTTTGGGTGCCATTACCCAACCTGTCACATGACGTAAATCAGATCTCCATGCCAGATCCAGCCAAAATACCTGCCCAGTTGATAATAAACAAGGTCAACTGACCCAGACCATGTCATAAGGTCTCTGAAGTTTGCCCATGGCTCCACCTCCTGTTTTGTGCCCTCACCAGAGAGACAGAAATAGTTATCATTTATACCAGTCAGTTGACTGGCCAAAAATGGTGTTTTCTCAACATAGCATTTGCACATAAACCTTTTTTTATTTCATATTGTCTTTGCTATTTAAAGAAATTTTAATCCTCTGATCCCCAGGTTGGCTGGGGCTGTTGGAGGGCCCCTCTCAGTAGCTTTGGGGAGCCCAAAAGCCATATCACCATCTTCTCCCAATATATGTGTTTCCAATCTATGGCTCCTGTGCAGTCCACGGGCAGGCCCTGACTCTCCCTGGCCTAAGCCCCTGAGTCGGCCCGGCCTCCCCAGCCCCCTGAGCAGCAGCCATGCCCCCTCTGCCTCTCCACTGAGATCCATGTGCATTTTTGTCTTTCAAAACATTTTATAGCACTTTAGTTATTCCTTTTTTCCTCCTGTGTTATTTTTATTTGTGATGTAGAAGTCTCTAATAAAGAAATTCCTTTTTTTAACAAAAAAAATTGTGAAACTTAGTTGTGAATTTTGTGTGGATATCTGTAAAATGTCTTCACGTACCTCATTAATGTAAACATTTTCTTTTCTGAATTCATCAGAGATATTTTAATTAGGAATTATAGTTTTGGGGAAGTAAAAATAAAATTTTTAAAAACTGGAGGAGGGGTTGAGGTAAAGAACAAAGGGGAAACTAAAAATGGAAATATATATTTATATCTGTATACACACACACGCAATATTCTTTTTGAAGTGGAATGTGACAAACACCCACTAATTGGTGCATGGCATATATGCAACTAGAGACAGTGGTTTTGCATAAAAACACTTTAAGAACCCCTTAAAAGCACTGTTTTGTTTTTCACCCATAGACAAGAATCTCTCCAAATACCTTCGGCCACGGATCAGTCAGGATGATTATTCTGTCCACTTCTCTGTGTCACCCAAGGAAGTGCTGCCCTTCGCCTTCCCGTCCTACAGTCCTCCTCAGGGCTCCAACGAGTTGGTGGGTGCTGTCATGCTGTGGGGCGGGGGCCGGCATGATCAGATGGGTTTTGGCAGATTGCTGGAAAAGCTCTGTCTCAGCCTCAGTCCTTTCACCTCCCCTGAGAGGCTCCCAAGGGAGACCTGTGCCCAGGGAATTGTGACCAGTGGGAAACCAGGGATCATCTACTGCTGTCAGCTTTGTACCTGGTACACCTGCACAGAGCTCCCTGGTGGCTGGGGCTGGGTCCTTCCCAGCCTGCAACCCAGCATGAGCACTGAGCCCTGCCCAACTGTCCTGGAACTGGGCCTAAAAGCAGAAAGGCCCAGAGAAACCAAGATGGCCCCGCCTGGCCTGGAAGGCAGGCTCTGCTCAGCTGAGCCCTTCTGCTACCTGGGCAAATGGGGATACCAGAGAAGGGCCTGGGCCCAACCAAGTGAGGAGGGAATGTGGCCCCAGAATCTGACGATCTAAACCATCAAGTTCACAGGTCCACCTCTCATTCTCTCTTCCTCTCTCTCTCTCTCCTTTTCTCTCTCAGGGTGGCAGGAGGTGTGACAACTCATCTTTCTTCCCTTATGGATACAATGATGCATTATAATAAAAATCATAGTTAACCCTTGCAGTGCACTTACCATAAGTCAAGCAGTGTCTTAAGCGCTTCAGTTGTGTTGCCTCCTTTTATCTTCTACAAATCTATGTGATAGGTTTATCCTTTTATACGTGAGGACACTGGGGCATAAGGTTCTGTAGCCAGTAATAAAATATTGCTCAAGTTCACACAGTTAGTAATAAAAAGTGTCCTTAAGTTGATATTGTAAATGCATATGCACCTAAATATTTGTTAAGCACTATACTTTAATCTGCTCAAGAATTACAGGACTGAATTTAGAAATTTCCTATGTTTTCTGCTCTGATAATTAAATGATTCAAAAGATCAGAATATCTAGCTCCTAGGAAATAATGAATCTGTGACTTTTAAGCAATAATACTCTGACAATTAATGAGGTAACAAGGTGATGGGTGAAAAGAGATCATCACTGTGCTGTGGAGCTCACCTCATTATTTTTGAACAGTTCAAAGCTCTCATATTTCATGTGGTATTCTTGTTAGTGCTGCTAAGACTTCTCTGCTGTTCAGGGTTGATAAAAAATGAATTGCTCAGCACTCTTGTCTGTAAAAAAGAGTTTATTAATTTATTCCAGAAATACTGTATTTCATCAGTTCTAAGATGCACTGTTTTTACATTTAGCATCTTTGAAGTTAGAAATTTTCTTATAATCGATGGCATATTACCATTCCATTATATCAGTCTAATGATGGTGTATTAGATTAGGTGAAGTATGGTATTTATTGAGTATCCACCATATGCCAGGCACTGTTCCAGGTTCTTTGGGTGTCTGAGGCAGATTGGCATGCAGGAAGTTTATTAGGTAGCGCTTGGGGGATTAGCACCTGTGGATGGCAGGCAGTATTGGACAGAGAAAGAAGTATCACTGCCATCCACCTCAGCAAAGTCCATAGCTGAGCCCACGAGGAGCTCTGAAGGTGGCACAGGGTGAGAGGACCCGGCACTTGTACATCGGCTTCAGCCTGTCACTGGAGGCGAGCTGCCCGGGAGGGACATGTGACCTTGAGTGAGGCGTAGGACCTAGAGTGAGGCTGCTCCCTTCAGCCAACGCAACTCCTGAAGTGGGTTGAGCCCAAGAGTTGTTTCTATCAACAGGGCTCCTAGAAGCTGGGGGACTAAGTCCTGCAAGCCCGAAGGGGACTCTGGGTGACACATTGCCATGTCCATGACAGCAGAAAATAAGAAAGAAGCCATCACATACACTAAGACACATAGAGGAGGGGATGGCCAGGGCTGCCTCCGGGCCCCACAGATAGCAGCACCCGTGGTCACGGGAAGGACCGCTCTGAGAGTAGAACTGTTCACATCAGGTTTCAAACTGTAATGGAAATAGTGGCCACTGCTGCTCAGTGTTGATTAATCATCTGTCCGTTATTTTTTTATTTTCACATTTTAGGCTCCTGATGGCCTTGGACTGGTCCCAATTAAGCCTTCAGAAGTTCAAATCAAGCAGAGTTTTTCCTTCTTCAATTTGCAGGTCAGACCTGTCACATAGTATTAATTGAGTTTCTCATGAAGTGAGTAAAATATTCTTGAATTTGAATCACATTATTTTGTTAGTTTTGTTCTATTATAGATTATACTTTGCAGCATACTGTGTATATTTTTCTGCCATTATTTTATGGTATGTGGGAGGTACAACAGATTCTTTTTTCCTAATGTGGCTTATGGAAACCAAGACACATGATATATTATGCATACATGAAGCTATCTGAACTAATATATTAGAAACTTCAAGAAAAAACATAAGGTGAGGTGAACAAAAAATTAGTCAGCCTTTCTTCAGGTATATGACCTCTTCTGTTTTTGAAAATATAAATATCTTAAATTGACAAGCCATTGTTTGGTATATTTCTACATCTAAGCCAAATGGTACGGGAGAGTAATAATGAGCCCTCATGTGCTGAAATTCAGAACAGGGCTGAGGACTTGCACTAAAGTCTGTCCAGGGCTGGTCCAGACTAACAATTGCCACAGTCTGGTGGCTACGACATGGTGCTTGTTTTACTTCTACCATGAGGTAGCTCAGAAATGCTGTTGTTGAGAAGTAGATTCCACCAAATGTTAATGGGTTTTTAATGCTGTTCAATCAGTTGTCTTCTTTCACCCTCAGGTTCCTCAACTGTACAAAATTAAGAGGTATCAGCCTTTCTCTGTCCACAAAGCTTCAACAAGTTACAGACCTCAAAAACTTGCTCGAGCCCTGAAGCAAGGAGCAGAGGTAATATGTCCCCAACCTTCCAGAATCATTCTCACCTTCCCCCTCTTGTCCTGGCATCAAAACTAATGTGCTGCTCTGGGTCCTCACACAGGATGAGGTCACCACCATCATAGCCCTCCCGAAACAGGACTCCAGACCTCGGCTCTCTGGAAAGACCTCAGTCTTGAGCATGAAGCCACCAGAGGCCTTAGCCATGTCTCCAGACTATGATCCCCTTTATATTTTTGTAAGTGACAATTGGCTTGTGTTCTATGTTCCTTTATTTCAATTACTCTATAAGAAAAAGGAAGTATTAATTGGGAGTAATTTTTATCTTTGGAATTATCTTCTAGCATTAAACAATATCTCACCTTTGAAAATGCTTGCCAGCATTGTTTGGAAAATATCAGTGTTTCTGTCTTTTAACAGTTACAGCATTTATTTTTATGACAAGGCTAATCATCTTTTCTAATTAAATATAATATGTACATACAGGCCAAAGAAGAAATCAAAAGAGAAATTAGAAAGTATTTTTAACTGAATGAAAATGTAAACAAACATAAATTTGTGAGAAATTTATAGCACTATACACCTACATTAGAAAAGAAGAAAGGTCTCAAACCCATGTCCTAAGCTACCCCCTTAAGAAATTGTAAAAAGAAGAGCACATGAAACCTAAACTAAGCCAAGAAAAGAAATAAGTATCAGATCAAAAATCAAGGAAGCAGAAAAAATAAGAAGTTCTTTATAGAGAAAAACTGGTTTTTTGAGAAGGTCAATAAAATGGATAAACCTATAACCTTACTGATCAGGAAAGAAAGGTAAAAAACACAAAATACTGGTATCAGTAATAAGAAAGATGACATCACTAAAGATTTTACAGATATTAAAAAGATAATGTTAATATTGTGAAAAATTTTATGCCAGTAAATTCGACGATTTACACTAAATCCACAACACAAATTCCTGTAAAGACACAAACTATGAAATCTTATTCAAGGGGAGATAAATAACCCAGAGAGCTCTATATCTGTTAAAGATTGAATTTGAGGATAAAAACCTTCCCACAAAGAAAACTCCAGGCCCAGATACCTTCAATGGGAAATTCTGCCAAATGTTTAAGGAAGAAATAATACCAGATCTACACAAACTCTTCCAGAAAATGGAGGAGGAGAAACTATTTCCCAACTCATTCTAGAAGCCAGTATTACTCTGATACCAAAGCCAGACCGTACAGTTACAGGAAAAGCAAAGGACAAACCAATGTCCTTCACGAGCATAGATGCAAAATTTGTAACAAAATTCTAACAAATCAAATCCATAATTATAAAAAAAGACAGTGTATCATAAGCAAGTAGGGGCTTGTGCCAGGAACACAAGATTAGTTTAAAACATTTAAAACTCAATGTAATTCACATATTAACAGACTAAATAATAATAATAATATGATCTTCTCAATAGATACAGAAACATTATCTGACATCCATTCTTGATAAATACTCTCAGCAAGTGAGGAGTAGAAGGGAACTTTCTCAACCTGATAAAGGACACCTATTAAAAACCCAGAGCTAACATCAAACTGAATGGTAGATGACTAAATATCTTCTGCCTAAGATCAGGAATAATACAAAGAGTCTGCTCTCACTAATTCTATTCAAGATTGTAATTATAGTCAATGCAATTAGACAAGAAAGGAAATAAAAGGCATCCAGATTCCAAAGGAAGATGTAAAACTGACTTTATTTACAAACAAAATTACATATAAAAATACAACAGACTCTACAAAAGGTCTTCTAATAAGTGAATTTAGCAAGATTAAAGGATGCAGTCATAATGAACTAATCGATTTTAATATATTTGACATATTTCAATGACAAAAAAAAATTAAAGGATTCAGGATCCCCTTACAGAAATCAATTGAATTTCTATAAACTATCCACAAACATTCTGAAATTGAAATTTTAAAAGCCACATCACTTAACAATAGCATCAAAAAATATGAAACATTTAGGGATAAATCTAACAAAAATGTATAAGTTTGATACACTGAAAATTATAAAACATTGCTGAGAGAAATCAAAGAAGACCTAATTAAATGGACAAATAGTATGTTGGTAAATTGAGAGATTTAATATTGTTAAGATATCAGTTCTCCCCAAACCATTCTAAAAATTCAACACAATCCACAATCCAAATCAAAAACCAGCAGGATTTTCTTTTGTAGAAATTGATAGACTCATTCTAAAATTTATATGAAAATTTAGATATATTCAAAACAGCTCTGAAGAAGAACAAGGTTGAAGGACTTACACTATCTGACTTTAAAGTTTATTGTAAAGCTGCAGTAATCAAGACAGCATGTATTGGCATAAAAAAACCAAACAGATCAATGAAACAGAATAGAGAATCCAGAAATATATTCATTTATACATAGTCAACTGATTTTTAACAAAGTTCAAAGACAATTCATTGGAGAAAAGATACTCTTTTAAACAAATAGTGCTAGAACATTTGGATATCTATTTACCAAAAATAAAAATAAATAAAAACAAAAGAACTTCAATCTGCACCTCACAACATTTATGAAAATTAACACAAAATGGATCTTAGGCCTAAATATAAAATGTGAAACTAGAAAACTAGAAAAGAAAATCCTTGTGACCTGGGGTTAGACAAGTATTTCTTAGATACAACGCCAAAACCACAATCCATAAATAGATAAAAAATTATTGGACTTTGTCAAAATTAAGAATTTCTATTTCCTTAAAGACACTGTTAAGAAAATAAAAAGGTAAATCACAGACTTAAGAATATACATGGAAATCACATATCTGATAAAGGACTTGTATCCAGAATATGTAAAGAACTCTCAAAACCCACAAAGGAAAAAATCAAAACAATGAAAATGCGACCTATGGAATAGGAGAAAATATTTGCAAACCATATATCTGATAAGGAGTTAATCCAAAATATATAAGGAACTTCTACAACTCAATAGTAACAAAAAAAAAAAAGTAATAACCCTTAAAAATGGGCTAAAGACGTGAACAGACATTTCCCCAAAGAAGACTTACAAATGCCCAACAGGTAGATGACTCAATGTTCAACATCACTAATCATCAGAAAAATACAAATCAAAACCACAATGAGATATCACCTCACACCCATCAAGAAGGCTATTATTTTAAAAAAAAATGTGTTGAGGAAGATGTGGATAAACTGGAAACTTTGTGCACTGCTGGTGAGAAGGTAAAATGGAACAGCTGCTATGGGAACAATATGGCTGTTCCTCAAAAAATTAAAAATAGAATTATCATACAATCTAGCAATTCCACTTCTGGGTATTTATTCAAAAGAATTGAAAGCAGGAACATGAAGAGGTATTTGTACAACCATGTTCATAGCAGCATTATACACAATGGCCAAAAGGTGGAAACAACCTAAATGTCCATGAAGAATGAATAGGTAAAGAAAATGTGGAATATTCATACAGTAGAATACTGTGCAGCCTTTACAAAGAAAGAAATTCTGCAATATGCAACAACATGGGTGAACATTGAGGACATCACGCTAAGCAAAATAAGCTAGTCACGGAAAGACAAATACTGCATGAGGTGTCTAAAATAGTCAGATTCATAGAATCAGAGAGTGGGATAGTAGTTGTCAGGAAATGAGGGGAGGGAGAAATTGGAAGTTGTAATCTATGGGCATACAGTTTCAGTCAAGAAAGATGAATAAGCTGTAGCAATCTGCTATAAAACATTGTATTTATAGCCAACAAAATATGCATTTAAATGTTTGTTAAGGGGGTAGATCTCATGTTAAATGTTCTTACCACAATAAAATTTAAAAAATAATTTTTAAAAAGAACTCTCAAAACTAAATAGTAAGAAAATAAACAACCCAATTTTAAAATGGGCAAAAGATTTGAACAGACACTTCACCAAAGAAGATAGACAGATGGCAAATATGCCCATGAAAAGATGCACAAAAGAATGCATCAACAAAATGCAGATTAAAAGCTTGGTGAGAAACCTCTTAGAACATCTAAAATTAAAGAGACTGCTGATGGGAATGTAAAATATTACAACTACTTTGGAAAACAGGGTGGCAGTTTCTTACTAAGTTACAGAATTAGCAGTAAACATACACCTACCATATGATCCAAACTTTCCACTCTTAGGTATTAATCCAAGATAAATGGAAGCAGAAGACCTGTGCAAGAATATTCATAGCAACCTTACTTGTTCCCAAAAATGGAGGGGAAAAAGTGTCAATAGGTTAATGGATAAACATGAATAATTTTCAAAATAATTATGCTAAGAGAAATCAGACAAAAAAGAGTACGTGATATATTGTTCATAAGAGTTGATGGAAAATTTAAAAATAGAACCCATTTGGCCTTGATGCTAGAACTGTTCTCTAACAAACAGTGACCCACAGGTCATAATATTGAACATTCACAAAACAAACAAAAAACTATAATCCAAGCCTCTATTTGGCCTGGCGGAGAAACATATTTACACAGTTAAGACAAAGTAAATGCTACTTACTAGTTTCCAACTTTTAGAGACAACAGATAAACACAGCACGAAGGTCTTGGTTGTGGTTCCCGAATGAGAATGTTAACAATCTCAGTAACCTCAAAGTAAAATTGTGGAAGAGGAAGAAGGGTACCGGAAAGCGTAGGCATGATAATGTTCTCGTTTCACCTGAAGAGGAGTTGAAATATTCAACTAACAATGAAACAAGAAATAGGGATATAAGTGCATCATTTCAAGTCACAAAGGTAACCAACTGCAGAACAATATAAATTGTTCTAAGTAGAACAATGTAATTTTCAAAATTGGAAGGAAGTTTGGACAGGGCATTTGTATACATGAGCAAAATATTTATCTTGCATAGTAATGAGTCAGTAGATAGTGTCTGAGGTTGATAGTCAAGAAATGGAAGAATAAGCATATTGTTTAGAGTTAGGGTAGTAACCATCAGAAGCATGAAACCCAGAAATAAAGGAAAGAATAAGCCTCTGGGATGTCAGCCTAGAAGGGACCACAGGAGCCCATGTCTTTTCATCACAAATCCTTGCAGCCTGAGTGAGTCACTACCATATGCATACGTTAATCTGAGGAAAATTAAAATTAAAATCATCGTGGGTGACCACTCAGACCACTCACTCTGGTACCAATGGCCACCCAGGGGGATCTGAAGTACAACGACTATTGGAGTCAGTGCTATTGCAGTCTCCAAAAAGACTACATTCATTAAATTTAGCCCATGACAGGCCAAGAGAGCTGGCCACATAGCAACTTCATGTGCCCTCAGTCAACTAGAGCAGGAGACACTCCTGAGGCCACACTGGTAATTTCCCCTTCCCCACTGTTGTGCACCTTTGCCCCGTCACTACCCCCATAGGGGGCAGCCAGCCCCATCCCCCATCACACTGCCTCCTTCTATTTGTACCTAGCCCTCGCCTCAGCTGCAAGTGCTCACTGAGGTGTGTGCTTGCTTCTCCACTCCTGTGGGCATTGCAGACTCCCTCAGTGGGCATCACCACATCCCTGCCCTGCCCCCTCCTTTACATCATGAGTTCAGTCAAGAGCCTCTCCCCACATTCCCCCCAAGCTTTCCTCCTGGGCCAAGCTGCAGATCAGTCTGTCTGCATTAACAGCTTACAGTCTTTCCAGTATTCCTTTTTCATTACTATTTTACTTTTTTACTGAAGCATAATTGATTATACGTATTTGTGGGGTACAAAGTTGACAATGAATAGTTGTGCAATATGTGATGGTCAAATCAGGATAGTCAGCTTATTCATCATTACATTACGTAATGATTCTTTGTGTCCATTAACCAATTTCTCACTAATTTCTCATTAATCCCCCTTTCCACTTCTAGTAACCACAGTTCTGTTCTCTCCTTCTAAAATTTCAATGTATTATTGTGATTGTTGTTTCTTTCTTTCTCTCCTTCTTTCTTTGTTTATTCGTTAATTCAACTCCCACTTGTGAGGACATGCAGTATTTCTCTTTCTGCCCATGATTTTCTCCAGGCTCATCTATGTTGCTGCAAATGGCAGAATTTCGTTCTTTTTTATGGCTGAGTAGTATTCCATAGTATATATATATATATACCACATTTTCCTTATCCAGTTATCCATCGATGGAAATTTAGGTTGGTTCCATAGTCTGGCTATTGTAAATAGAGCTGTGATGAGCATGGGAGTGCAAGTTTCCCTTTGACGTGATGATTTCCATTCCTTTGGATATATACCCAGTAGTAGGATTGCTGGATCATATGGCAGTTCTATCTGTAGTTGTTTAAGGAACCTCCATACTGTTCTCCATAATGGCTGCACTAATTTATAGTCCCACCAACAGTGCAGAAGTTTTCCCCTTTCTCCACATCCTTGTCAGCATTTGTTATTCTCAGTTTTTTTGATAATAGCCAGGTTAACTGGGATGAGATGGTATCTCAGAGTGGTTTTGATTTGCATTTCCCTGATGATTAATGATGTTGAGCATTTTTTCATATACCTGTTGGCCATGCGTATGTCCTCCTTTGAGAGATGTCTATTCAGCTCCTTTGCCCATTTTTAATTGTATTCTTTGGGGGGTTTTTACTATAAAGTTATTTGAATTCCTTGTCTATTCTGGATATTAATCCCTTGTTGGACTTATAGTTTGCAAATATTTTCTCCCATTCTTAGGTTGTCTTTTCACTCTGTTGATTGTTTCTTTTGCTGTGCAGAAGCTTTTTCTGTTTGATATAATCCCATTTGTTTATTTTATCATTTGTTGTCTGTATTTTGGGGTCTTATTCAGAAAGTCTTTGCCCAGCCCTACATCCTGGAGTGTTTCCCCTACATTTTCTTCAAAAAGCTTTAAAGTCTTGAATCTTATATTTAAGTCTTTAATCCATTTTGAGTTGATTTTGGTATATGGTGAGAAGTACGGGTCTAGTTTCATTCTTCTACACGTGAATGTCCAGTTTTCCCAGAGTTCTTGACTCACCAACATCCCACCCTTGCATCTGGGTGCCTGGATGCCTCCCCAGTCCAGCTGCATGTCATTTATGTTATGAGGGGACATTTGTTTCTTGCCAGTGAAATTAGCATAAGCCAAGTGGAGTTGGGTTTTTTTAATTGTTAAAAAACTCACGCAAACAAACAAAAAGAACAAAATTTCAGTTTATTTGTTCCTAAATGTCTGAGATTAAACAACTGTGAGAGGGGAATAGCTACGTTATTGATTGGGACAAGAGTGGAGTTTTTATTCTCCAAGTCCTGGAGAGAACATTAAAAGGCTCTATGTTTTAGTATTTTGATATAATCACTCTGTGCCTGGAAATTGTTGTGCTGTAAAATTAGTAAAAAATAGGATTTTCCTTAAAACCATATACTACACCCAAATGGAGACTTTATGAATTAAAAATATTACCAAAACAATGTTAAATGTTGACATTTCCTAATATCTCAAATGTCACTCTCTTCTTTGTCTTTTCTTTAAAGTAGTTCTTAAGAAGCTATTTTTTGTTTTCAAAACCAGAAACTTATTCCCTTTTTAAAACCAGGTTACTTATTTAATAATTCCCCCCTAATTCATCAAAGTTAGAAACAAATACTTTAAGGCATTTTTAAGCTGTGGTTTCAATTATACTTGTTTCCATGTGAGTTTAGTAAATCCACATGGTATGTAGGGAAGCTCTTAAACCAGAAAAGTGACATTTATGAATGACTGTGACATTTTAAAACACTGCCAACTTGAAGACACCTCTGCTCTCCTGCTTCTCTTTCCTAGACGAGCTGACATGGAATCACAGTGTTAGTGCAAGCGGGAGCCATAGAGAACATTCGCTGGCGCCTCTCCTACGCCCAGCTTAGAAACTGGTAAACAAAAAAGAATCTTTTTCCTTCTCTTCTGCAGAATCCCAACCCAGGATTATTTGCTGTAAAGCGCCCTCTGACCTACATGGAAACTTTGATAGATTACCATCTGTGCTCTCACCCCAAGTACAAGTTCACCAAAGAGACCCATGATGGATCCAGCATTCCTGTCACCCAAAAGGAGTTTCTTCATCACACGGTAATGCCATCACCAGACTCACATGGTGTACGTAACCCCATGGTCTGACTTCCTCTTTCTCTAGCCCCAACAAGTATAGAAACATCAGAATGGATGAGGTGGCAATGTAACAAATGCACAGTTAAGGCAGTGGCTACAAAGAATTCCTTTCCCCACCAGGTGACCAACCTGATCTGAATATCCAGAGAAACCTCTTGAAGATTACCATCAGGCCCCTCAAACTCAATAAATCCCTAACTCAGATCATTATCTCTGCCCCACTTCCACCAACCACACCCCAAACTTTCTCCTCTTGTATCACCTACTTGCCCTTTTGTTCTATGGACTTGTGCAGTTCCCCATGTGATCTTTGGTCCCTACCCATGTCTAACCACCACTGGATGCCACCAATCTATCTGCCCCATGGCCCACCACTGCTGTGGGTGGCTCTCCATAGAAATCTTTCTTGCACACAAATCTGATCATGCCGTGACCTGTCTGCCTCTCCAGCCATGTTCCCCCCATCTCTATCACATGCCTGCACTCAACCACATTTGCACACGCAGTTGCCCTGCCTGGAGTGCCGTCCGATGAACTGCTCATTCTCTTTGAATGCTGCATTAGCATTGCATTCACAATAATCGAAGTAGATTTGAAGGTCACAGCTGCCCTCCATCACCAGGACATGTTGCTTGTGTGCCTAATGAAGCAAGGGAAAAAACCTCTCCTTTGTTCCTAATTCTGTGTGGTGTTATCTGATGCCCTTTGCTGGAGTGCTTGTCTGTTTGCTTCAGAAAAATTCAGTAAGTGTTAATGAAATTATAAACTTTGGAGCTAACTGTTTAGGACTGAAAAGTAGTCAGTTGAATGAAGTGGAAGTCCCTCCTAGAGTTTATCTCACCAAATAGTTCCTGTCCATACCATACCCTGTGCCGGCTTTTCTTACAGGACATTATTCCTGGAATAATGCACTGGAAGAGGTTCCAGTCCCTGGTTCTCTCCTCCCTGCCCGAAACCTCTAAGGCGGAGACGACACCAAGGTGAGCACTCTGTTGTCACATGAGGTATGCTGCCCCTCACATTACAGAGGCTATGATCCCCAAACGTTAAATGCCAATAATATGTTAAACCATACTTTTAAAACATGAGGGAAGTTCACTAGTTAGAGAAATGGCATGATGTATACCTGATTTTCATATTTTGAATTTATCTTAATTCAGATACACTTTTTAAAAAAAGTAACATCACACGTGGCTAACTGGCAATGCTTCAGTAAAAGCAGACAACCAATCCATATAATTCCACTGAAATATTCACAGCCAATTTTTAAAATTTATAAATTACCAAGGTTAGCCTTCTGCATCCTTCATCTCCAGTTCCACAGGATCCAGTTCTCTGTCCTACCACAGCATGGCATTCACTGTCAGCCCCACAGCTGTCCTCACACAGAGACAGCTCAGCTCCAGATACAGCCCCTGGCTCTGCTACAGAAACAGAACGGGTAGATAAGAATATTGTTTGGGCCGGCCCTGTGGCGCACTGCTACAGTGCACCGCTTGGGAGCGTGGCGGCGCTCCAGCCGAGGGTTCGGATCCCACATACAGACTGGCCGCTCACTGGCTGAGCGAGGTGTGGGCGCAACACCGAGGGTTGCGATCCCGTTGCCGGTCCCGGTCCGGTACGGGCGCGACACTGAGGGTTGCGATCCGTTGCCAGTCACGAAAAAAGACAAAAAGGAAAAAAAAAAGAATATTGTTTAAGCAAAGAAAGATGAAATTTAGAGTAACCACATTGCTGCTAAATGCTTGTTTAATATCTATTCAAAGCAGTAAGAGATCACACAAATAGCCTGATACCTTTTCTTTAGACTCTGCCTGGCCAGTAGCCCACATCTTCAGTCCATTGTCCTTACAAATATTGTTAAATGAGTTATCGGTGAGAAAATGTGACTAGTGTCCCAGAATGATTATCAGCTCTCACCTTTTGTTCAAATCCTCTGTTCCAGAATGAGGCTTACTCCAAGGTGGCAGAGCCCTGTCATGGTCCTAAGAGTGCCAGGAAGCCTGAGCTCTGCCACCAACCAAGATCAGCAGGTGATCTTTATATGCTCCCCCTCCCCTAAACTCCCACTAGTGTATCCTGGGTCCTCTGACTCTGAAACTCACCAAGAATGCCACACAATCTCCAAGAGGTGGGCTCTGTCCTCCTGTCAATAAGACAAGGTGATTGGACTTGTTGCAAAGGTCTTTCTCAGCCTTGACACTTCCATTTCAGTAGGAATGCAAAAGCTTACCCAGTGTGCAACTGCCTTTATAATACCTGGGCACCTGCTCCTCTCCAGGTCTTTGAGGAGATGGTGGAACACAGGTTGTGACCCTAGAGCTTAATTCTACTTCCTTCATTGCCAGCAGGAAAGGCTGCTCCTGAGTTAAGCCAAATGCAGGCATACTTCCAGAGACTTCTCCGTGTGCCGACCCTTTGAGTTATTTCCTTAGTGCCCTACTACTCTCCTTTGCCTGGAGATCAGCGTGAGATAAACAAAGAGCACTCAGCATAGAATTTGGGACATGACAGGAGCTCCAAAGTATTATCCCTTTTGTATTACTTCATCCATTCCTCCTTCACCCTGTGGCCATCTCAAAATAAACTCAGCATCTCTGTTCTTCATTTTTAACATATTTCTAAAATGTCAGATCTCCAGAATTGGGGAAACAATGGCACTGTAGAGAGAAGGAAGGCTTTGGTGTTAGAGAGCTGCCTGCTTTACAGGCAAACTGTGTCACAGTTCTCTATCCATGGGCGAGTTACTTATTACTGAAGCCCTTTGAGCAATAATTTCCTCATCTGTGAAACCAGGGCGAGGACAGCATCCTCACCCGGGCTGCTGTGAGGATTAAAGTAAAAGTGTTAAGCGAAGCATCTAGCATCATGCCTGGTGCATGCTCTAATAACTTCCTTCTCTTCTACCCTCCACCCCGCCCACCACACCCCGCAATCACTGTTGCCACCAGATGGCGATGGTCCGTCACCGCGTCAACAGACTGCCTCGTTTTGCTAGGGGACTGGGTCACTTCAGAACAGACCCATGTAAGCGGTAAACCGCATAGCTGGGTTTGGGGTATTGTCAGAAGAGTGAAAAAGCAAAATGAGAAATGGTGAGAAGTGGTGATTGTTCGCGTTTACCTGCTGTCATCACACACAGATCTCAAGAATTAAGAAAAAACACCCTGGTTTTTTTTTCCCCCAAAGCAGTTCCTTGGAAAAAACTCCCTAGGCTGTTCTTTCAACAAGCAAACAGAATGCAGTTACCTTGAATAACCATGAATTAAACATGAATTTTACATGGATTAAAGAAACTTGCGGGCCGGCCCGGTGGTGCACTGCTACAGTGCGCCACTTGGGAGTGCAGTGGCGCTCCCGCCGAGGGTTCGGATCCCACCTACAGACCGGCTGCTCACTGGCTGAGCGAGGTGTGGGCGCGACACCGAGGGTTGCGATCCCATTGCCGGTCCCGGTCCGGTACGGGCGCGACACTGAGGGTTGCGATCCGTTGCCGGTCACGAAAAAAGAAAAAAAGGAAAAAAAAGAAAAAAAAAAAAAAAGAAACTTGCAACCTGGTGTTTTTTCAGCTTCTGGACCTGAGTGCTCTGTAGGGCCAGTTTGTTTCAAAATAAACTGCAATTGTGTAACAGCTTATAAAATCAAGAGAGGATTTTATATTTCCTTATCATGTATTTCCACTCGGTATAAGATTCTAGGTCATGTTTTTATTTCTAAAATCAGTTATAAAATAATAGCAGTTCCTTTTTTTAAGTTTTGTCTTTGCTCATTTGGGCTGCTATAACAAAATATCATAGACTGGGTAGATTATAAACAACAGAAATTTATTTTCACAGTTCTGGAGGCTGGAAGTCCAAGAACAAGGTGCCAACAGATTTGGTATCTAGTGAGAGCCCCCCTCCTGGCTCAAACATGGCCATCTTCTCACCGTGTCCTCACATGGTGGAAGCCTTCATGACCTGAATCACCTCCCAAAGGCTTCATCTCCAAACACCATCACATTGTGGGTTAGGTTTCCCAACATATGAATTTTGGGGGGACACAAACATTCAATCTGTAGCAAGTTCCCACAAATCCATTAACAATAATTCAACTTTACAGCCATTTTGCTTGAATAAATGACCTCCTATTACATGTGAGGTTTTCCTTACATCCTTTGCCCCTGAGAGTTATGTGTATGTTGTTAAACCATACAATATAGTTTACATAAGTTATTTTTGTATCCATAATAATTGAAGCAGGTCATTGATTTCTTTACTGTATAGTAAATTCAGAGAGAATGAGTCTCTATGGACTTCCATAAAATCTGAGAGTCAGCAGCAACCAAAGAAATTATCTAATCCACTATTTCCCAGACTTTTGGATTTTATAGATGAGTATTTCCTAGAAGAATTTTGGGAACTGACTTAGGGGTGTCAGAGTTTTACTTTGTCAAGTAAAAACATTAAAACAAACCAAGCAAAACAAACAAAAAGGTCCGACCACCATCTACTCTCATCTCCATTTCAATTCTAAAACAACATATTAATACACACACCAAAAAAAGGTAAGAGGACCATAGTCTCATGATTTTAAAACTGGACTACTTTTGTTTCATAAAAAACTTTTGATTGTTAACATTCCGTCTTCCCAGACTAGTCTGGTTTCTGGAGAGAGGTCTCGTTTCTCAGTTTCTCAGTCCCTACTCTCACAGGAATCACTTCTGACCATACCTGTTCTAAAGTTTTGGTGGAATTTTCAATTAGAACCTGGATTCTTTGTCATGAACTTAGCAAATAGAGCTAATCTCTGCGTGGTGGGGCACGGGTTTCTTTTAGTGAGAATGAAATTAAAGGCCAAAACCTGTGTGCTAGGTGTGCACACTGCTACTGGGGTGTTTTGATTTCGTGGCCTCTTCAGTAGACAAAGCCAGGGATACACACACACACACACACACACACACACACACACACACACACACACTGCATATATACAGATACATACACACACACATATATACATATGTGCATATAAACACACATATACACAAACATAAACATATTTTGGAAATGGTGAATTCACACCAACACTTAAAATTCCCATCCATATCCACAGAGACATTGCTTGCTTTCCACCATTCCATATTTGCATCCCCCTTCTTCCTCTGTGAAAACTCTGGCTCCTACCACATTTACATACTCAATTTTATGATACATCTAAAGTAATTCATTATTGCTTCCACCGTAACTACTTTAATAAACAAGCCTAATAAATAGAGTTCAGGTTTATTTGCAACTCTCCTCCCACTCCATCCCACCCAAGACGTGGGTATATTGTTACTTGGGTTATTTCTTTCTGTCTTTTCCCTCCCTCCCTCCCTCCCTCCCTCCCTCGCTCTCTCTCTCTCTCTCTCTCTCTCTCTCTCTCATTCCTTCTTTTCTTTCTCTCTCTCTCTCTTTCTCCCTCCCTCCCTCCCTCTCCCTCTCCGTCTCTCCCCTAACTTCATTCCTTCCTTCCTTCTTTCTTTCTTTCACATACAGACATCCTATTTCTCCAGTACCATTTGTTGAAAAGACTATCCTTTCTCCATTAAATTGCTTTTGCTCCTTCTTCAAAAATTAGTTGACTATATTTTTGTGGGTCTATTTTAGATCTCTCTATCTCTCTCTCTCAATATCTTTCTCTCTTTTTTTTCCTTCTCTTTCCCTTCAGATAATGGAATTTATATAAAATGTTACCATTTGTTTCAGTTTGCTTTCAGTTTTTGTTTTTATTTCCCTTTCTTGTAGATTTAATTTTATTTTTTCAACATTATCGTGTTTTCCAAACAAAAAGGCTTACTCAGGGACGTGCCACTCCCTCCAATCTCCCTTCCACCCCATTCCCCCGCCCCTGGTAGGTCACCAGCTTGGTCTTCCAACTTATCCTTCCTGTGCTTCTTTTTGTAATGCTAAGCAGAATATATGGATTTTTCTTGTTTTCCTTTCTTTCTTATACAGAAAGTGACATTCTAGGTATGGTTTTCTGCATTTGCTTTTTTTGCTTAATATCTCCTGAAAAACCCTCCATTCACAGGTATCCTCTTTCTTTTTTTCCATCTGTAAAAACCATGTTGCCATCATTTGTATGAAAAGTCTCCATATTTGTATGAAAAGCAGGTGCATTTTCACACAAGAACAAAACAGAATAAGAGTCTTATATCAAAGACACATGTGCACACATAAGAGAGCCTCAATTAATCCCTGTTTTCCATTCCCACTTCCTGCCTTCCCTTAAGCCGGTGGCCTTTCTCATGTCCATGAGGAGGTCCATTTCCTTCCCTGTGTGCTCCAGGCTCTGTCATTCTTTGCTCTTTTTCATGAGCCAGCACTCTTCCAAGCTTCTAGAAATTTCTTCCAGAAAATTGTTCAAAATTTTTATCCCCTGATGTCTTTTCTTCTGTTGTCTTTGCTGTTGTGTGTTCAGTTTTTATTCCTTTAACATCATTTGAAAGGTTTTAGGCTGGCAGGTTAGCTCAGTTGGTTAGAGCTGATAACACCACGGTCCGCAATGTGATCCCAGTACCAGCCAGCTGCCAAAACAAAAAACAAAAAAACAGTTTCCCTTGACAATCTCATTTTAAAGGTTTCTAAGGACGGAGTTGAAACCAAAAAAACAAAAAAAGTGAGTGTTCATTCCACCATTTTGAAACAAAAGTTTGCTGCCAACTTTTAAAATAACAATATTCTTTTTCTCCCTGTCTCAATTATTTTAATGTCTTCAATACCCAGGAATTTTTACATAAAGCTTTAAGGTTGCAATACCAAAGTATACATAAGGAGATGGGAAGGAAGGTTTGAAATTGAATAAAATGACTAAGGAAGACAAAGGTGGGAAAAAAACCACTAAGAACAAGAAGTTAAACTAACGAACCATGCCCACCCCAGGAAATTATATAATTTTAGATACCACCAACCAAAAAAGCCTATGATTCTGTTTAAACTCCAGAAAATGTCCCACTGGGCGGCGCTCTCCTGGGCTGCACGGGCCTGTCGCGGCCCTGCCTTTGCCTCCCGGGAAACGCGGGTGGGTTTTCCGGACTGAGGAAGGACAGAGCGGTAGAGGCCTCACCAGTGGTGAAATAAAAATGCTTCAGAAAATTACATAAAGACGCCCAGACTACTAACGTGATCACTTACCCCTGACTGTAGTGTGATTTTTCTGCAGCTGTGATTCCTTCAATTCAGTCATGCTTCCTGTAGACGTCCCTGCCGTTCTTGATGCCTTACCAGAAGAAGACAGACTAGAAATAGTCGAACGGTATGTTTTTTGCCTTTGGTCTCTAATGTGTTCTGTTTTCCAAAAATATTCAAGGCATTGTGAGGGATTTTTAAAAGAGCACAGCACCTGAGCATGCAACTCAGATGAGAAGACAAGGCTCACACCCAAGCGTGCCACCCCCTAGATACAATGTTATGTTACGTTCCTGGAGGAGAACAGACAGTCCCTAAGGCCTGGAGTTTGCTGATCTTTAGATGCTCCAGGAGCTCAAGGGAATGGAGCTCAGAGGTGGTGCAGGTGGACTTGGAAGGCTTCAGTGGTCACATGGACTTGGGTTAGTATGTGAAAGATGGGTAGAATCTGGGTAGGCTTAAAGAAATACAAGCCCAGTAGCAAGATGCTTACACTTGATTTTAGTGTTCAGCATCCAAGCCAGTGAAAATATGTCCTATAGATGTACCCAGATATCACATTGTACTCCATAAATATATGCAATTATTATGGGTCGATTAAAAAAATAAATTTAAAAGGAAAAAAATTCAGTGTGAAAGATGGGCAGAATCTAGGTAGGCTTAAAGAAATACAAGCCCAGTAGCAAGATGCTTACACTTGATTTTACTGTTCAGCATCCAAGCCAGTGAAAATATGTCCTATAGATGTACCCAGATATCACATTGTACTCCATAAATATATGCAATTATTATGGGTCGATTAAAAAAATAAATTTAAAAGGAAAAAAATTCAGAGACAGAAGTAGATTAGACGTTACCAGAAACTGGGGGGGAAGGAATAACAGGAAGTTGTTACTTAATGGGCACAGAGTTTATGTTTAGGATGGTGAAATGGTTTTGATAATAGACAGAGGTAGTAGACACACAGCATTGTGAATGTAATTAATTCTACAGAACTCTAGGTTTAAAAATGGTTAAAATGGCAAATCTTATATATATTTTACCACATTTAAAAAAAGTCCTTGAATCTCCTATCACCATGCCCATTTAAGCCTGATGGCTAGAGAGGCCCGGCAGCAGACTGGAGCAAGGGTGGGAAAGCTGAGCCAAGCAGAGCATGTGCCCTTGTCTCGCAGCAGCTTCTCCACTGTGAGCACCTCAGTGCGTGGCCCCCAAACCCCCAGCGCACATGCATCTGAGCTGAGTTGCCTCCCACTGCCCCATATGCTAATGCCTCTAGATCTCAGTCAGTACTTTCTCCTTTTTAAAATATATCACCACACAATTTCAGAGAGAAAATTAGAAGTTCCATATGTTTTAGCAGGTACTTTCTACCAGGCACAAATAAAATCCATTTAAGTTTTCTAGTTTAATTAGCCAACATAGCATAAAGTTTTATACATACAAACAAGAGAGGGAAGAGCTGGGTTGGCCAAGGCCATCTGGGGACATGTCCTGCAGCATCCTTGCTGATTTTCACTTCTTAACTCTGTTATTCCAAAATATGTTTGTTTTTAATAAATCCAGACTTT